CCAATCAGAAGCGATCCGCTGTTGTGGTTTCGCGTTTTGCTGATTATTGATTGGTTACACGGTTACGCGATACGCGGTAAATACACCTCATGGGACTCCAGCCTAAGCATAACCTGCGTATTCTAGTAATTTACTAGAATACGTTATTTTTTATTTACTAGAATACGCCATTCTGAAAGCCCGCATTCACATTGAGCGTATTTCGCGGAAGATTAGAGAAATGCGGAACTAATGCAACCAATTGCTGATTAGAATTTCTGTTGTACACTCTAACAGAAATGCTAAATGAACTTACGATTGGTTTTCGTAACCTACGCTTCTCGAAAAGTACGCCTCATGGGGAAACGGTACCTTTCCATCTCCATCGCATATATATGAGCAGACGATCGAATAAATTATTAAAATCGGAAAATTTTGTGAGACCATTCTTAGGCTTATTCGACGCGTTTTTGCATGAAACGGAAGAATCTGGCAAAAAAAAACGTCGTTCTGCCTTGTGATCTGTGATATTAAGCATTAAAGTTGATGACTATTGAGGTTAGGAAATCTGTCACAGAGGCAAAATGAGGTCTATAATTGTACTGTTCCACATGGGTTTCGACTTTTCACGCGATGCAAAGGGGCGCACGACTTTTATAATTGTACTGTTGCAAAATCGAAACCCTTGTGCATTTTTTCAGACAGAATAAGCTAAAATGAGCCAGAAATTAGATTCGATGCATGGTGGTTCTTTCACGTTTCGGCGTAACAACAAAAAAGCGTAAAAAGCATAAAGTGACTAGACAGAAACTGATGTTCAAGTGAAATGATATGATTGGTAGGCACAAGTTACGCTTATGCAAGTTACGCCGCATGTAACGGCACCCTAAAGGCCCGTCTACAATACACGGAGTAAGAAGTAAGAGTAAGAAATTAACCAATCACAGTCTATTCTTCTCACATTCGACTGTGATTGGTCAATTTCTTACTCTTACTTCTTACTCCGTGTATTGTAGACGGGCCTTAAACGAAATTCATGTATCTGGTGATAACCTATATTGCTCAACAGTCAACATAAATCAACATTAACATCAGAGTTGTCACGGGTCAAAAAATAATTCTACTAAATCCCTGCTCCACAATTCACTAAAAGACCCCAAAATTCACCAAATGCGTGGATTACATTAGAGAGCCGTCAAATGCGGCGTAACTTGCGTAAACGTAACTTGCGCCTACCAATCATATCATTTCACTTGAACATCAGTTTCTGTCTAGTCACTTTA